CTCACGCACGCACGCACACGCGCACGCGCACGCACACGCACACGCGCACACGTACGCGCACGCGCACGCGCGCGCACGCACGCACACCGCACGCACGCACGCAAACACACACACACACAAAAACAATCACACACACACACACAAACAAACACACACACACACACACAAGCACAAACACAAACACAAACACAAGCACAAACACAAACACAAACACAAACACAAACACACACAAATACACACACAAACACACAAACACACAAACACACAAACACACAAAAACACAAAAACACACACACACAAAAACACAAAAACACACAAAAACACAAACACGCCACACAAATACGCACCTGTGCGCGCTCTCACGCGCACACCCACGCGCGCACCACGCACACCCACTCGATCACGCAACGTAGACACCCGCACGCACATCCACTCCATCACGCAACGTGGACACCCGCACGCACACCAACACGATCACTCAACGTTGACACCCCCACGCACACCAACGCGAGCACGCAACGTGGACGCCCCCACGCACACCCACACGCCCTCACGCACACGCACTTTCGCAGGTGCGCAGGTGGCTCTCTTACAGCACTTGATTCAGGAGACTCTCGGTGAGTACGCTGCGAAGGTGCACTGCTCGAGCAAGTGGCCAGGCAGGGCAGGGCAGGTGAATCCAAGACCATCAACCAGCCAACCAACCAGGCATGCATTTGCACAAAGCTGCGATAGGAACGCCATCCGGGCTACCGGACATTGAATATCCCATCGCCTGGGTGGATGCCTTGGCACCGATCTCGAGCTCTTGCCCCGGCAGTTCATATGGAGCACCCCCGGGTTTGGAGCAATTCGCCGAGGAGACTTGGCGCGAACCTCTTGTGTTCCAAGGATATGTCCAAGAAACCTGCTTTACAAGGGACTCAGCCGGCATCTTTTCCCGTCATTGCCCTTCCGTTTGTCCCTTGGCGTTTCCTTCGCTTCCTACAAGACATGAAAGGCCCTTTTTGGGGTTTCCTCAATTGTCCCCTTTTCACTAGAAAGCACAACACTACTTGCAGGGTCAGTCTGGCCCAGGACCAGCTTCCGAACTCCTGCCCTGCGAGTTTCTTTGAGCCACCGCCTGGCTTGCAAGAGATCCCTGCGTGGGAGGAATGTCAAATCTTCATTCCGCCCGTGCATGATGTGGTGCCGCCACCCCCTTCTGCACCACCTGTCTTGCCTGACTCCTTGAAGTACAGTTATCCGGAGTATGTCAGTGTGTCTATGCACACTGCACCCGCCGAAGTGAGTGTTGGCTCATTGAACCATGCAGATGGCACATGCAAGCCCTGCGCGTTCATGCACACCAAGGGTTGCCAGAGCGGGGCTGATTGCAGCTTTTGTCACCTCTGCCCGCCGGGGGAAAAGAAGCGTCGGGCAAAGCTTACGAAGCAAGCAGCCAAGCTCAGTGAGGCCGCAGGAGCTGCGGTCATGGAAGCCGAGCTGCCAATGATATGAATACCCGGGTTACCCATCCCATGTGTACAGTTTATGGGTCCCCGCGTATGGCTGAACACCGCCTAGCGGTGCAGCCGGCGTAGAAGCGCAGCACTGGAGCATGGAGCGTTGGCCATGACATCTGTTGAGACTAGAGGGGAAATACCTGTGACGCTTAGCTATGCTTAGCTTCAGGGTTGGGTCATTGCCTGGAAGCTGTGAGGCCATGCCCAGGCGCCCTCCAAGCTGCGTGCCATTCGACCAGGTGGCACCTGAACCAAAAGTGTTGGGAGTTAGAGGTTTGACAGTAGATCCTTGCTACAAGTTTACCACAAGGAAAACAACTGTGTGTATCTGGGTGCGACTCAGGGCATCTGAATGCGTTTCCGAAGAAGGAGCAGCAAGGAAAGTCTGCAACACGGCACGGATGGGATTCCACTTTTTGACTACCCTGGGTAGACTTAAACCCATGGCTATCCTTTGGGAAAGTCAACCTGGGTTTAAGTCTACTGTGGGGTCGGGTACTCAAAAAATGGAGTCCTGGTGTTTTTTCGAGGCGGCAGCGGACCCGGAAGACCACGGCTGCTCGCGGAAAGCTGCTCCGAAATCGGATTGCAAAAGCGGATGACCTTGCAGACAGTCTCTGCCGGAGTTGGCCCGAGTTCCCCAAAAAACCAAGGTTAGGGAGAAGGCGACATGCAAGCTTTTCCGGAATGATTTCAAGTTCGCCTTTGACTTTGAATATGGGAAGTTGCTTTGGCTAGAAAGCAGCGGCCAAGGATTTTGCATAGCCGATGCTTTGCCACTGCCGGCTCATAATGCCGTGGTGTTGGTGCTGAGTTGCCACAATCCAGCAGCTTTTAAAGCGTAGGAAAAAGGAATCCATCACGTGAAACCTGCTCCCCTGCAAACAAGCAGATGTGCCCGTCCAAAAGAGCTTCTTCCAACTGAGGTGAGCTTTCTGGGTTGCATGTAAATCTGTAGGGGTGGGCTTTTTGAAATCTATGCAAGCATCTCGTACGGAATGCGGCAATCCTGAAGGCTGAGCCTTTTCCAGACACACATTTAAAGTGTCGGATGGCTGTCCTCAGACTACGGTGCCACGGTGTCAGCATGGCACGGCGCGCGGCTGAAGGGACAGGTTAGCCCAGTTGCAGGCCGGCGGTGCGGAGAAACACCGTACATTTCCTCTTTTCGTGCCGCGAGCAACACATTGACATGTCAAAACTGAGGGCCTTTTCTGGATGGGTTATAAGAAATTGTTTAGTCGAGGAGCGCTGGCGAACTGGGCCTTTCCTGTCTTTTGCTGGACTAGCCACGGAGCGCTAAGTCTGGCTGAGGTCGGTGGCCTGCTGAGGCAAACAATCAGATCAATCATATGATTCATATGCATCCGTATGCATCATTTGCTTTTGCGCCTTCAGTTAAATGCTGCCGGCTGGACGTAGTTCGGCTTTTTGTTGCTCCTTGTCGGCACTAGGCTGGCTGGCAGGACCCGGTCAAGGTCAAGGTTTCTGATATGATGACGTGCTGGCGTGCACAGCTTCAGATATCAAAGAAATTCAGGCATATCATGTTTGTTCACATCGTCAGGAAGCTTGGCTGACGAAGAGCCGTTCACATCCTGCCACATGCCAGTATGGACGTTGCACTGCTTACAGGACTTAGCCTGATTTCGAGGCTAGCTGACAAGAGACCAGCCGTCGTTGGCTGATGTTAAAATGGACCTAGCGGGTGTCGCCGCTCTTGGATATGTAACAGGAGTCAGGCTGCAGTGCTTTGGCAAGAGGCGCCTGTAGCTTAGCCTTGCTTTGGGCCTTATCGGCTCAGAGACGCTTCGCGGGAAGTCCAACCTCATGGCATCCATCCTGAAGGTGGAAGAGCCGGGGGGCACGGGCCGGTCCCGGAGCACTTCCGCAGGCAGTTCCCAAAGTCTGGTCCCACCAGAGGAGGTCACAGCCTCCAGCTCAGGCTTCTTGGTGACATAGGCCATGGCCGTCAACTTTGAAGATATTTTAAGTGAGTTGCCGTCATGTCGCAGCCACTTAAAGACTGACTAGCAAGGGATCAACGAATCAGTCACTGAGGCTTGGAGATTCACGAGTTTCCAGGCTACGAGGCTCCTCGCAAGGCGCAGACCTTTGACGACTTCATCTCGCCTGCCGGCTCCGAGCGGGGCGAATCCTCGCCCTCGGCTCCTGGGTTGCCAGGAAGCTTCTGGGCTCCCCTGGATCCAAGCCTCAAGGACCCAGTGCCGCTGGGCCTTTTGGAGCCCGTGGAGCCCATGGAGCCCATGTACCATGGGCTCGTGGAGTGCATGGAGCCGGATCCGCTGGCCCCTTCCGCGTGGATGGAGCTGGCGCCTTCCGTGGGGTCCGCGGAGCACGGGTCCGGGAGCTGCAAGCCCTGCGCCTTCCACCACACCAAGGGCTGCCAGTGCGGAGCGATGTGCACCTTCTGCCACTTGTGCCTTCCAGGTGAGAAGAAGCGCCGCCAGAAGGAGAAACAAGCTGCGGCCAAGGCCCGGGGGAGAGACTGGGAGAGAGAAGCAAAGACAAACTGGAGCTGACAGGGCAACGTGCAATGATATGTTGCTGCGAGAAATGTGCTCCATGCGTACTGGGCTGGTCACGCGGAGGCAAAGGTTCGTGCCCTGAACTGAGCCAGACGCGCGAGTCGCCGGGGTGAGACTCTTTCACAAGCAAAGGGGGGGCCCGTCCACACCCCAGATACACTATGATCCGAAATTGTGGACATTGCAGACTGCAGATTGTGTCCAGTTGATCTCAGAAGTGGAGCGTCCCCAAGGTTCACCCATTGCACCCTGCATGCACAGATGCGGGGCTGCGCGGCAAAGCGGAATTCAGCATGCATTTGGCCAGGCGTTCCGCGAGCAGTGAGTAACTGCTTACCCAAGCTTAAGGGTGCTGGCAAGTTCATCGACCCCCAATCGGAAGGTAGTAAGGTGCCCCGTGCTTTTGCATGCGCCAAAAACCAAAGGGGACAAAAATAGCCAGCCAAAGCACCAGAGATCAGAGAGATGATCTCGTATCACCTGGCGTTTGTAAGGTTGTTGAGCTTTGAGATTGCTGTGGCGCGAGTTCGTCACCGGAGAGGCAGTGACAGTGAGACTGCTAGGGCAAGCAGCCATTTTGAAGACGGTGTTAGTTAGGACAGTTGCGTGGGATCGCGGATGTCAACGGCCACGTCACTTGCAAGCTGGCCATGTTTGCACAACGCGTTTATTAGCGGAATCATCGAGTCTGCAGCTTTTGCAACTGACGTGGTGCCGAGTTGCCCAAAGTGGAGGCACATTAACCCAGAGGACGAATATGCTGAGCTGGGAGGTTAAAACGTCCGCCACACGCTTGTTGCAGTGCAAATTTTGCCGCTGGCATCAATGCATTTATTGACCCGTGTGTTCATTGCCTATTGACATGTTTGACGGCTCGGGCTTCAGCACCGACCTTGATCACAGCTCGGATTGGTCCCGGAAGATGATGCCCGTGGCCCAGATGTGGCGCGGCTTGTCAGCACCTAGGGCGGAAATCTATTGATGCGTCCACGATCGTCCACGAGTTGCGGATATTTTTTCAAGCATCACTGGGCATGTTTGAAAGTGTGCCCAGGTGCCCAGAACTTGAAGGAGGACAGCCCAGCTTCCAACCGGACAGAAAGCACCACAGACGGCCCGTCTCCTTGGCAGACTCCTCAGCTACCGCATTTTGCAGCGCCGGTGCGAGCGGGCGGGAGTGGGGTGCGTTGCTTCCCAGTCCGCTTGACCCAGGTGCTCCGACAACGTTTGCTTCGAGAATACGTGCATCGAGTCCAGCTTCCGGCAGTGCCTGTCTTTTTCGCCCATCCAAACAGCTGCCAAGCCAGCAGCGCGGTGCGACGCCACGCGTCAGCCCACGGTGGTTCAACCGCCCCCCGGTTTGGAGCACATGGCACCCACGCCCCTCACACAGCCGAAGCGGGCGTTGGCTCCGCCCCCACCGGGCCTCCCTGCCTACGTGCCGGACATGAAGATCCCCCCACCCCCGATGGAGGCGCCCAGGGTGGACCTCGAGGAGGACATGCCTCCGGTGCCTGCGCGGGAGCCGTGTTTGCGCCTGACCTTGTCGGATTATTTGCCGCACCATGACACCTCCACCTGCAGACCCTGCGCCTTTTTTCACACAAGGGGCTGTGCCTTGGTTCAGCTGGGTAGGCTGTGCCAAGCCCTCTTTGTCCATGTAATTTGTTTAGATGCCGATTGTTGGAGAAAAAAAAAGAATAGAGGAACCTTACTTGAAAGACAGTGTGTTCTTTCATTGGCCTCCAAGGCGAGAACGGCTCAAATTGCAGCTTCTGTCACCTGTGCCCTCCCGGCGAGAAGAAACGTCGCCAGAAGCTCCGTCGAGCCCAAGAGGACGCTGGGAGACTTGGCCTTGGGAGACTGGAAGGATCTGCAGAGTCTTCACTAGATTGTTTGGGAGGTTAGGCCTAGGGCCTTTGTGCCCCATATACTAGCCCTGAAGTCCTTTGCCATCATCCCACGTCTTTAGCGTTTTCCATCTTTTCGGTGTTGCTGTTTTGCCCCCCCTCTCTTGAAAGAACCCACCAAGTGAGGATATTTGAGATTTGATTAGAGCAGGCATTGTGGAATCTTATTGTTTTTGCTGCCCAGGAAGCCAGTCACCAGGAGAAGCACCAACCGAAAGTGCGGCTCTTACCGCGACAGCCACAATTCGACCCCGGGTGAGCGAAGGCTAGTAGGGGCCAAGTCCAACCACAAACCCGCCCTCTCAATTCTTTACGGAGGGGTATGTATTTTAGGTTTCTTTTTCTCGTTTTTTTTGTGAATGTTTTTTCGGCTTTTCGGCTTCTGGGCTTCTCGGCTTTTGGCCTCTCGGCTTTTGGCTTCTCGGCTTCTGGGCTTTTCGGCTTTTTGTTGGTTTATGCGGCGTTTGGTGGCTTCTTGGCTTTGGCTTTTCGCATCCTTTGCATTCCCAGTTCCTCTTCGCCTGGTGGCATTTTGGCTTTTGCGGCTTTTCGCTGGTTTATGCGGCTTTTGGCGGCTTTGGCTTTTCGCATCCTCTGCTTTCCCAGTTCCTCTCCGGGCTTTTTGGCTTTTGCACCCTTTCATTGGTTGTTGGATTTGGCTTCCCGCATCATCAGCAGCACCAGCTCCTCCCTATTGGATCATCACTTCTTCGAACATCATGGGGGGGGCTTCCCCCCCCCAACCCACTCGCGAGAAAATGCTGCAAAATACGACATTTTGGGTAATCTGTGTAATCCATGTATGTCTGTATGTGTGCACTTCTTCGAACATCATAGGGGAAGACACCCCCGCCAACCCTCCCGCTGCCTAACCCTCCTGCTGCCTGTTAAATTCTACCCTTTCTTGAATCATGGCACCCCTACTTGAATCATCACTTCTTCCGACATCATGGGGGGGGCTGCCGCCCCCCTCCCCCAACCCCCCGCTACATTTTTTAGATGTTCTACAGAGATTTAGTTGCACCCCTAGTTGGAGCAGAGATTTAATTGCACCAATTTGAATCATCACTTCTGAGAACATCATGGGGGGGGGGCAACCTCCCCGCTTTTTTTTTGTTTTTTTTAACAGGGATTGAAATGCCCTCCTGGTTGATATTTTGTTTGACCCCGTCAACCCGCCAGCTACTTCTTGGATTTTGTTACCCACGGTTTGTTGGTGATGCTAGGGATGTTGGTCGGGCATGCGGGGGATGTTGAAAACGATGCTGGGGATGTTGACGGGCTAGTGTAAAATGCGTCAATTTCGCGAGAAAATGCTGTAAAATACAACATTTTACTGGCCCGGACGAAAAACTAAAAAAAAAAATCAAGCACCCCTTCTTTACATGATTTTGTGTGGATCACTTTAAAGGTTTTGATGAGGGAGGGAGATGACTCATGTGGCATGCCTTGACAATCAGATTGGTGAATGGATTTCTTGGGCCTGAAGAACGACATTGACAGGTCCCAACCAATGGAAGTGAATCTATGTTTTTGTTGGCTTTCCTCACCCTTGCGAATTTGGGTTTTATTCGCAAGACTTTCTGGGCCAAGAAGGTACCCGTGCCTATAGTAGTAGGAGCACCTGCGTTTTAGCGCATCACAAAGAATCCCTAAAAAAGCTGTTGCACAAAACCATGGAAAAAACATAGTTGTTGGAAAAAAAAGAAATAACCGATTAAAACAAAAAACACACACACACACACACAGCACCCCGCCATTTGCACCTATCTGCATTAGCTTTCCGTACACGAAGTTTCGAGGTGCACAGCTGCAGCGCACCGTGCCAAATGCAAAGGGCTTGCGCGCCCAACTTGCTGTGCAAACCTTGTTGGGCCATCGATGCAAGAGCCACGCGTGGAAAAACCGTCGAAAAGGTTTCGTTTGTTCCTTTTTTTGGTGTGGTTCCGTGAGTGGCAATCCCCAGGCGCTAACTCAAGCGGGAAGGCCCGCCCCCTCCCCCCCACCCCCAGCCCGCCTCGGTCTCGTTGGCCATAAGTCTGACAGGCAAGCATGCATTGCACATGTTTTCGGCACCCGCGCTATGTTACTGACGTTTAGTGTTGTAATAACCTACAAGAGAAAACTGCCAGAATGCAGGGGTTCCAGAATGCAGTGGCTCCTATAGGCGCGGGTGCCAAAAACTGCTGCTAGTGTTCGATGCTGAAAACGGCTTGGCCCTTTTTGGAAAATCAAATCGACGCGCCCCCAACCCTTTCGCCTGCAACGTCCAAATTCAGTCGAGGACACAGTTGAAACGCATGGGATCGCCACTATGGTTTCTGTCCATGACACCAGGGACCAGCCTCAAATCCAAGGACCAGTAGCATGTTTGCTCCCTCCTGGCGAGTCTTCGAACAAATCAGTCATTGTCCGCCGGCTACCTGCCGACGCAGTGTAGAAGCCCCCAAAGTTGTGGTGTGCCTTCTGGTTTCCGTTTAAACCAATTTGCAAGGTGAAACTCCAAGAAACATACCCCCATGTAGCAAATGGCAGGTGAGCGAGGACGGTGATGCACAGATCGCGCAAGCTGCCATTGGCATGGGTGCAGGAACGGCGGGTGTCACCCGAGTGACGCGGAACGCGCCGCACGGAGCAAATCTCGCTGGGTGGCAGCTGCCTCACCTGCCAGCTTTTTTTTTGGCCATGACATGGTTGGTTTGCGTGTGAAGATTCCGGTGCGATTTGAGGTTTGAGACTTGGGCACGTGTTGCCTATGTTTGTAATCCCTGCTCTGGGCCCCTACAGATGTTCACCAGGAATCTTCCTCTCAATTGTCCTGTGTCCACTCACGATGCTCAGTCTTGCATCGACGAGAGAAGTCTGATGCCTTGTCATAGTCGCTGTCAAGCAAGTCCGAAGTTCATGAAGTGTTGCTTTGGCCAACCCCCACAGAATCCCACAAGAGAGGTGGAAGCCGGTTGAGTGGAGGCAGGGCTATGCACTGCATGGCTTGGACACAACCTACATCTTCACCGTTTGTGCTTTCCTGATTGAAGCCGGTTACAATCGAACATGTGTGTTCCAAGGGTACTGTATGCAGTGCTGTGAACGGTTCGCCTTGAGATTGGGGCAGGGTGATTGCGGAAAGGGGCGCATGACATTGCGAGACAACCGGTGCCCACTTGCACCGTTCACAGCTGTTCAACTTTGCGCCCCCTTTTGTGCAAGCAACCCCGGACTCGTGCAAAGTGCTCTGCCAGCACGATGCATGACTTGCATGGATTCAATAGCATGGGATAGCACCAGCGTCCTTTCAGAACACTCTTGTGCAGATCTGAACCTCGGCAAAGCCGACAGTTCCTCATCTTGTGTTCACTTGCCACCGCTTGCCACAGTCCAGCTGCTTTCCTGACGGTGCGAAACGATGCGAAACGCCATGTTTTCTCACTTGAGGCTCCGAGCGCTGAACATCAAGGAATGCAGCTCTAGGTGCCAGGCTGCAGTGAACATCACCTGCGCCATGGGCATCTCGCAAGTGCAAGCGCTCATGTCAAAGCGGCAAGGCCGCCAGAACTTTGCATCAAGCGCTCGCCCTCTTTTTTTGCCGGGGGACGTGCATTGTACAGCAGTAGGCAACTGCACTGACTCACTTTAGTTGCCCAAAACTTGCCGTCTCGGAAATACTCGGAAGACCGCCAGGGCCTGGGAAGGTCGGTTGAAGGCAATGCTGCTAACCAGCGGCTTGCATGGCAGTAGCTCGATCAATCGTGGAATTCAAAAGCGCACTGGATTCAAAAATGAAAAGATCGATTCGCATTGGGTGGCCACAGCTGAGTGCACTGTCAGCATTTGGGATTATATTGGGACATGCTTCCATTCGACGTCAATCTGGTATTTTGAAACATTCGGTTTTGCAAGGTGGGCATACTTGGAGTCATCAAATCAAATATCCAGTTGAAATTTGTTGGCGGGGGCGGGGGGGCAGGGCTGCAAACAAATCATGTCTCGTCGCATGACGTGGTGGCTCACGCAGTATGTCCTGTGTCCCTCATAGCCTCAAAAAACAATGACCCACAATAGTGCTGCACGTTTTTGTTTGTTCCAAGAACCGGTTTCTGAACCTTCTCATCCGTGTTTGCCATGTCGCTCCGTGCTCCCAATGGCCGCCGGGCGACCATGCCTCCGCAGCGCGCGTTTGCGGGGGCGTCGGTGTCTCCCCCACCAGTGCACCACATGCGGAATGCCGGCCCCTGAGTTGAGCAGCCACAACTCCCATTGGCCATTTTGGGAATTGTAGTACCTGGGTTACCATGAACCTCATAAACCATTTCGCAAGTCCTGCTCAACTCAGGTGCCTTCGCACTTGGCACTCAGCGGTATGTCCAGCCCAAAGACGCCAGCAAGCCCGGCACACCGGGCATCGCAAAGCCCCGCACATTGGCTGATTCGATTGACGCAGAGCATTTGTTCTTGCGGTGCATGGCACTCATGAAGTTGTGGGGTGCCTGATGTTCTGTGCCCAGGCGCATTACAACGGCAACAACTACGTCAGTTTCAACAACGGCATGACACCATTGCCAGTGCGTCAATCTTTGGTTGTCCCTGCGGCTTGGAATGGGGTTTCACCCCGTCATACGGTGTCACCCCGTCAAGTACTACAACGACAATCAACCGAAACTTGGCAGCATAGATTCCAACGAAAGTGCGGGGCACATGCACTGTGCATTCTGCGCGATCTCTGCGCGCTTGCAAAGAGCAGCGGGCATGTACCCTGAATCACGTTGGTGTTTCCAGGGGTCCCCTAAGGAAATTGGTTTCCTTGTGGTTTCCGTTCAAGTCTACAAAACGGGGGTCCCCCATTACGAGAAAGTCCCATGTGGTTTATTTGCGAAGAATCTGCGGGCCGCTGCACCGAGGGCCCCATCAAAGTCAACAGAGCTCCGGTGCGGAACTTGTCGATCTCCAGTACGGCGAGCACAGCCTGTGCCTCAAAGCTGCCTCCTGCACGGATTCAAGCAAGTGCGTAGCATCCGAAAGCAACCTGGCTAAAAGAACCCAAGAGAAAGGTTTTCCCAACAAAGGCGTTGTCAAAAGATCGAATAGCGGCTGAGGTGAGTACGGCGCAAGGTTCGTACCAGCGTGTTAGCAGCAGGCCCGGGCGATTGTTTTTGCAGGATGGTCAAGATTGTTTGTGTTGGAGCCTGTGGATTTTGCGAGTTTAGCTCATTGCAGGGAAAGGGAATCCAGGAGGAAGGAGCCGGAAATATTCCAACAGGAATTGGAAAGCATGGATGAGGAGTTGCGAGCACTTTGTGAAAGCATAGACTCAGCAACCTGGCCGCATTAAAGTTGTTGTATTGATTTTGTTCCATGTGTGCCCTCCCATCCACGAATACGGAATCTGACTGGGGTGGGAAGAACGTTTTCCTCTACAAGGACCCTCTAGTGGAATCCATATTGGTGCACGGACTGTCTCCCCACCTTCTTTGCAGTGGACAAGGACAAGGACGGCGTGATCTCCCGCTGGGATTTCTTTTCTGCGGCAACTTGTCAATATTGGCATGAGATGGGGTTGAAGGCCATGGTGGCCGAGGGGCGATTGTGGCCGTTTGGTTCATGGTATCCCTGTCATGTGGCACAAGAATTTTGCATCATTGACAAAAAGGTGCCAATTGACCAGAACCAACCAACCAAACCACCCTAAACCATTCATAACCCCCATCACAAGCTGCCCAGTAGGGCCTAAGTCCTTCCATGCCCTACTCGACAGTAACACCCACCCTAATCAATCCCAAACCAGCCCGGAAACATCCACCCTGTATCCACTTTCAACCGTCCTAGTTGAATTACATGTTTCCTAAGCCGCCAACATCCATCCCAAACCCACCGGAAACAAATCTATCCCCACCAAGACCCTCACCCAACCCTACCTCCATGTTTGCAAAGCCCGCTTGACGAAGCCTTCACCATACCCCAGTTCCACCCCTAGACCAGAAGGCCCTGATCAGCCCCAAACCAGCCTGACCCTACCCGAAGGACACCCCAAACTCACCTTAATCTCAACCTCAATCCCACCCCAAACCAATCCGAATCCACCCTAACTCCACCCTGAACCTAACTAGCCCAACTCCCCCTTCAACTAACTCCACATGCATCCTGAAACCACTCACCCTGGACCGACTGGCACAGTTGAGGTCCAAGACAATGAGTCGGTGGCCACTACATTGCTCCCAGGGAGAGATGGCAGCCAAGTTATGAAGTCTTCAGACACGTTTCTTGATCGATATTGCAGGGGTGCCGTATTTGTATATTGCTGGACTGCTATGCAAAATTGTGTGTTTGTACACACTTGCAGACGTGTGCAACTGCTTGATGTGTGAGTCTTGGCCAAGGTTTGACGAGGCAGATCGGGTTTACCGGCACATGGCAGGCAACAAGGGCCGCGCTTCGGCTTAAGACCCCAAGAGCGTTGAACATCCATAGTTCAAGTTGATTCAGCGTACTCCTTCGCGAGCCAGGATGTGTTTGATGTTTCTTTCAGCAACCATGGGGTGGTGACAAGGTGCGGTGGTTCAGAATAAAAAGACGTTCAGAGCAAAACCAACATTTGGCACTTCGAGTTCATTCGCACCTTTCCGATGCCACTCATTGCGTGCCGCTGATTGAAACTGTTCACTGAGGCCTGACGTACACCGATTTTGCTTTGCAGTGGATGGCTGCAAAGGCTCCCAAGGACACACGGACGCCGCTTGTTGAACATCAGCCAAGATTCGTTTGGGTCCCTGAAAGTTCTCAAAATTTCTCTTGGGGTGGTAAACCCCTTGAAACCGTCATTGGGAGGGGTGTTTTGAAGATGTCACTTTGACGGACCCAGTTCGATGTTTTCGCAGGAGAAGCTTCCAAGTGACCTCTACGATATTTTCAACATTATTGACGTAGGCGCCACGGCAGCTGAATCCGGCTTGCAACGCGTGGTTGTTGATGCTTTGAAGGCCTTCTGTGCCGATTTCAACCGGCATCAAATCTGTATGTTACAGGTTCTCCTTCGTGGAAGGTGGGTCCACAGCAACAACGCGACATCTCAATTTGGAGCGGTTGGCCAAATGTTGTTGAAAGGCAATCAAATCACGTGTGTTTTCTGTTCGGAGCCGAGCAAACGGACAGGTGTTTTTTGTGTTTTTTCGCAGGTGCTGCCCCAAGAAGTGCGCTTTCCACGTGAGATTTTGTGTTTTTCTTCGGTTTTTTTCTTCGGGTTTCGACTTTGGGCGTTGGAGTCAGGTGGCGTGGGGGAGGTCTCCCGCTTGGCGCTGCTCAGTGCGGTGGAGGCCTCTGCGCTGGTGGCCATCAGGCTGCTGCCAGGCGGAGTTGGATCCCCCCCCGCCCCCCGAAAAACACGTGGTGGTTAGGTACAGGGGACCCGTGTTGGTTGGTGTTAGTGCTGTTTAGTTCCTAGGGAAAGCCAATTTGGAAGACCCCCAAATGGCTGGGATTAGGACCCTTCCCCATGGTTTTGGATGGATGTGAGTTTGTGGGTGTGGGTTGACATGTGCTGTGACAATGTTGTTGAGCCGTCGTGTTTTTCTCTGTTTTTTTTCTTCTTTCTTTTTGTTCTTTTCTTTTTTTCTCACAACAGCATAGTTGAACACGTTCTTGCATGCCAGTTTGTCTCAACATAAAAAGAAGTGGTTCCCCAAACGTTTCCTTTTGGCTTCGTTCAACAGTCAGCCAAGAGGCTGGTTCTCAAAGAAGATGCAACCATGCAAACGTGATTTATCGGTAGCCATGGCTTAGGCTTAGGCTGAGGGATCTTCCATCAAACTATGCAAAATCTGCAAAATGCACGTGTGCGCACCACACAATTGTTTGGTTTTCAGCTGGGAGACAACCAAATTAGGTGCGAATTTAAGGATGACCCGCAACATCCTGAGGCATAGGCCCTGCCCGGTGGTTTGCTGTGAAGGATGAAAGTCGGACTTGTGAAAATGATTTGAATGAAGTGTAATCTGGAGCCACCAGGCATGTTTGGGTTGAATGACTGAGATGAGTGGCCACCTTGTTGGGGCGCCCTGCACAAATTCAGGCCGACATCCCAGGAGGTCATAATGGCATTGCCCCAACGGCAGGATGGGAGTATCCCTACAATTGGTTCCCTGTTGGTTTCCCTTCCGAGACATTTCAAGCCAAGTCTTGCCGCCAGGTGTCGACGCCAGCGTCCCTGAACAAGTGTTCACTGCCACGCAGGACTTCATCGAGACACATGTTGCCTAATGCACTTGGGAGAAAAGCCGGCGGGTGCACCAAAGAAATGGCTGCGTTGTGCGCTGGTCAGCCTGGTCTTGTGCAGCCGGGTGTGTGCGGGTATCCCTTTTGGTTCCCCTTTAGAGTGGTTGAAAGGAAAAGGTATGGGCCGCCTGAACTTTGCGCCAGGATCTCTTTGATGCCATCTCTCATGGCAAGCGCTCCTTGGCTTCGGGAAGTTATTTGTTTGGGTTGCCTTTGTAGAGACTGCGAAAAGGGTACCCTCAAAAAGAGACACACCGAGTTGTGTTCGTCCGGATCAAGGCCGCATTACTCTGCTTGACTTCGAAGAGCACTTCAAAAAGCGGCGCCTGGGCGTGCAATCAGGCCCCAAAACAAAGCCTGTCAAGTTGAAAGTGTTTAGCCAGGAAGATCTCAGGCGATTTGTAAAAAGATGCTCAAAACTGGCCAAATGGTTGGAAGACTTATGTACACGGGTTTCCTGGCAAAACCTTCCGAAAAGGCTGTCCCTTTGGTTTTTGACACACATCGTTGCTGCATGGACCACTTGCAGAATCGTGCCCCATAGGGATTGTCCATGCCTCAAGGGTTGTAGACCACGGAATCGAGCACACAAATGCTGCGAGGGTAGGACGCTGGAACCCCAGATTCCCTGATGAGGCGACCATCTCTGACCATGAGCCGCAGCAGGGCTTGCGTGCTGCAACTTGGAATGCAGACTGTGGCGTCCTGACGTAGGCCCCCGGACAGACAAAAAGGAGTGAAAACATATGGGTGTGTGTGGGTGTGTGTTTGTTTGTTTTGCGAGGGCATTTTTTTTTAAGCTGAACTGAACAGAAACCAAAAACAAAACCTCAGTTTTAGGGGTCCCCTTGTTTTGACACACACATATGAACTGTAGTTGAACCATTTCCTTCGCTGAGGAAACCTGAAATGACTGATTCACCTCGTGCCCAGGCCTGGCAACGGCATGTTGTGGCGAGCTCCAGTTTATTGAGTGGATAGGGCCGAAAATGGTGCCACCTGCCCGCACCATCGTTGCAGAGCTCGGCAAGGGACACAGCTCCCACGTTCAGATTCCCGATATGGGATAGATGTAGCGAGTGGCGGTCAACCCGAAGGAGTTGATGGCCAGATGTTTTTGGAGACCGGGCACAGGACCCGGTCCTTGAGCAGGGCCTTTGATGAGGGGAAATGTTCAGAATGATAGTTGGTGGTGTTTGGTCGACGTGTTTCGTTTAGAGCAAGTTCAAGCTTGAACCATTTCAGGCTCTCGATTTCACCATGTCCATTGGCCCTGCCCGTCGCTACAGAGCCTTCGTTTGCCACGGCCCAGCCTACAGTGAGTTTTGATTGTGCAGGCTGTGACTGGGACCCGTTACGAGGCAGGCAAAGCATCGGGACGGTTCACAGCATAAACTCGTTTTCAAAAGCTAGTGTGCGTGCGGACATTTTTGCACAGCGCCAGGGTGAAATTTTGAAAAACAAGAATGTGGAAACTGGTGTTGAGCCGGTCTGGATGTTTTGTCAGAAACCTGTCGCAGCGGTTTGCGGCATTGTCCCAGACCGCTGGACTCGCCCTCTAATCGCCCTGCCCAAAGATCACGCAGGCAAATTCGGGCCACCCGAGGTGTCCTGAGCAGCTTTAAGGGCTGCGCCTGTCCCGCAAAAAGGCATGAATTGCGAATGTCAATGCTGCAAGGTATTCGTGGTTTTGCTTTGAGGCTGGGCATGAAGCACATGCTTCGCCGTCATGAACTTGCTGAACTGACGTGGCGTGTTCGCAGCCGGACATGTGGCCGCCGCAGACATTTAGCACGCTTCTGCAGCCCGGAGGGCTGACCGCCGCCCAGGCGGCGAATGCAGGCACCTGCCAGTGTTTTCGCTTATTCCCCAAAGCTGGCATGTAGATAACCCCCTTTTCATAGAAGACTTTCTTTGTGGGGACGGTAGATTTTCCCAATATTGCAAGTAATCCAGGGTTTCACTTTGTTCCTACTGGTTTCCTCATTTCCTACTTGTAGAAATTGGGGACTCCACCGCGGCGTTGGGTTTTGTTGACGCGTCGACGGACCGCAGGCCATCAACAGGGTGCTTCGGCAGAACGCGCGCCCCTCCTCATCCTCGAGGCAGGAAGGTTTGAGGGTGATAGACGGTGTTTGGGTGTGTTTGAGGCCATCGTGTGTGTGTGTGTGTGTTTTCTCTTTCGGGTTAGCAGGAGTCATCAATGAGCCATGGTTGGCAACTTCTGTGAAGTTGCCAGGTGGGTGAAATTAGATGTCACAATTCCAACCCATTTTGGTCCTTCGTTTTTTGAATTGCTCACTATGCACGCCGGTGCATCTGAGGAGTGCCATCCCAATTGTGCTGCCAGATTGGTGTGAGAAAGGTACAAGTGGCTCGGCGAGAGAACATGGAGTTTGGGTCTTGAGCTGGCTTCCACTGCCCTCAAAACACCCCCCATCCCCAGCAAAGCGAGATGAAACAAAACCCTTCAAGCAAGTGCCTATAGTTGATATATGTTGATATATGTATAACATATGTATATCCCATAGATAAAGCTTCTTGGAGGGAGTGGTTTGGGGGTAGTGGAAGGGAAATTCGACTGAATGTGCTTATCATTCGAGCAATGATAGCAGTCCTTGCTGAGATCTCGTGTACATATCGAAGAGTGACTTGGCCGCGCTGGCACCGCACATGTCATGCAGCTTGTACGGTGTGTACTGAGGTAATGGCCAAGCCCATACAGTGCAAGTGGAGAAGATTGAGGAGGGACGGGGAGATGGAGTCAGATGCAGCATGATCCTGGGATTCGGTCCAACCCCAACTCTGAGATGTTTAAATGATCTTCTTATGTGACAGGAAAGACAGCAGATGGTTGTCATCCGCTTCGACTCCAACAGAAAAGTGTGGAAACGAGTGCCGCCGATTTGGTTGCAGCCAGGCCCGTGCATCCACGCATCGCACATGACGCCTTAACCCCTTTTCAGATGTGCTGAGATGGATATTTTGTTAAGGCGATTCGCTCGACAGCCAAGGTTTATCGAGGTGCGGAAGTTTGGGGATGGCACGCTGAGGCCGCTGTGGAAAAAGACAGAGGCCAGGGACGGTGAACCAAGACCCTTGTCGAGTCACGTGATGTGGCCTGAGAGGTTGCGACCGTGCCCCAAAAACCGGCAAACTTTGTGGACGTCGACGCCGATGCCTCGCCTGAGGCCGGGCTTCGCACTGGGGCCAGGATGAGTGTGTGTGTGTGTGTGTGAAAATAGGGACCCCAAACATGGATTTCGGTTTCCTTTAAGGTTCCCTTTAAACCTCCCCAAAAAAGGGATTCCAAAAGGATACCCTCAAAGGCTCAAAGGGATTTCCGGAATCACTGTTCGAGGTGTCTGGGCCTGCGCCAAATCCCAATCCCGTGGTGGACGCAGAGCCGAGCCCCGAGGAGGTGAGCCCTGAGGCGGGGATTCGAATCGAGATTTGGAACGTTTCTTCGCTCTGGTTGGTGTGTTTTTTGGTGTTGTTGCTTAGTTGACTGTGCTTTACGCCTGACCGGATGTTGTGTCCGTTTAACTTGTAAGTGTTGGTTGCCATGTTTTTGCTGAAGTGCCGGAGCAGCTCGAGGCGTTTTTGGGTTCCGGAAGGGTTCTGGGGAGTTGCTGCCAGGGATAGCACCGGCGTGTTTTTTGCCTGTTGTTTCGGGTCGTTTGATGAGGGCTAAGCACAAAGGTTTTGCTGGCGTGCCAGAGGGTTTGCAAATCCAAACTTCAATTGGCCAGCCAAAACGCTTTGTGAAAACAAGCAAGACCCTTTGTTGGTTTACTTCAAAAGGAAATCAAGCATTGCAGGGTGCATCCTTTGCGCTGCAAGAGGTTGTTGAGGTTGTGAGTCATTTGGGGTTGCGAGCTTTCTGGTTTGGCAGCCGTTGAGGCAGCGGGTCTTGGTGATGTTTCAAACCTATGAGAAGGCTGTCCCCTGCACACTAAGGCCGCACATCTGAGATGAGCATTGGATAGCAACGGTCAATGTTCACTATCACTACTGCAGTGAGGGCATGACAGGGCCATCCTCACCAAATTATGATCGTGAACCAGAGGTTGCTCACCAGAATTCAATGTCACTCAGGTATCAAGGAAGGTGCGATTTGTTGTGTTTTTCCGGTGCATGTTTGGTTCGATCCAAACAACAATAGTCTATCCATGGATAGGGGGGGGGGACAAATCACATATTTTGACTGACTGGCTGTGATACATTAGACGGCACCTGCCAGGCGCCGGAGCCTTCCAAGAAGAGACCGGCCAGCGTTGCGCAAGGAGATGCGAAGGTGGTGGAACCCCGGCTGAGTGAGTTTGGCGGAAAATCGGGAGCCCCACGTTGGATGATGTTGGATGGTCCTAGAAGAGAGCCCAAAAGAAGGCGAACCGCCAGAGAGCCTTATATCATGTTTCAGAAACACCAAGCTGGGTCGTGAAAGTTACGCAACACGTAGTCAACCACCCCATGTTTCCACGCGTTTGGCCCAGGCGAAAAAAAAGAAATCGTGAAAGCACCGAAAAGGCCAGGGGGTGCAGCAGCTGCGCGGGTTTGCGACATGGCTTCCATGGGCTCAGGCACCCCGGTGCGCCGCGCAAGGAATCCCAAGCTGGGGTTCCGACTGGCGCCAATATAGCTCGGGAGATAAAAAGGAACTCGCCATGTGACGCGCGGTTCCGGTCAAGGGGTGTTGCAGACACAAGAAAGGTGTCCCACGCAGCGTGTCACCGATGTGCAATCTGAAATTTGTTGGCTCAGAATGTTGCAGAAAGGAGTTGCATAGCGATACAAGTCTTCGCACATTTTCTAGACTCGAGCGTGCTTGATAACTATGCCGGCAGCACAGTATCTTAATTGAGCAGTTCGTGCAAGAAGGGGTGATTGCGCAAAGTCTGGCTAGCCGTTCGGTTTGCATGCTTTGGTCGTGTTTTGCGGCTGTGGCTGCAGCAGCTCACGGGGGCAGCACAGGACCGCCGCGTGCTGGCAGCCCTTGTTTTTGCCAATTTGCGCATGTCCTTCGCAAAGAGTTTGGTTGTTTGCAGATCCAGGGTTGATGTGTTCCCCTTGCTCTTGTTGAAGGTAGATGAGAAACCACCCCTAACCTCCCTCCAAGCTACCAACTAAGCGGAAGCTGAACATAATTTGTCAATCCTGAAGACAAGGATATCTAAAGATGCTCTAAGTTTGGACCCTGACATGCCTCAGTGACTTGAGTCCAAGGATGCCAATGCAGCGAGGACTGGGAGCAGGCAGCAATGTCGGGGCGGTTTCACAATTGAATCCCCTTTGGGTTTTGGATCTGGCGGGATTCTCACAGCGAGGTGCGCTGGGAGATGTGGCAGATTTTCCGGCCCGACCTGGACATCCCCAGCGCCTCGCGCTTCATGAGGGCCCAAACGTAGATGGCTGCTGTATCATTATATGGATTGTTTGCTTGTTTGGGGGAAGACTCATTTAGCACATCTCAGTATGCGGGATGATCCAATTTGGCCAAGGACTCCTGGCATGCCAGTCGGCGCCAGCAGACTGCGAGGCAAGGCCTTATGCCAGGGCTTCCCCTGCAGTGGGTTCGCGTTTGTTGATGTTCTTTGGAGTTGATACGTTTTCAGGCTGGTTTGAAAGGAACCAAGCGGAAAACTGGGCGTCTCCCCTATTTCGACACAGACCCACATTTGTCATGTTCAACCTGTTCAACCTCGAAAAGCGGGAAGTTGGGGGGGGGGGCCCGCACCTCCAGCGAAAGGCTTGTATCCTACCCCCCCCCC